AATGAAAGGTTACCGGCCAACTTCCTTCCTTCCTTTTCTTATGGCTGCCTCCTACAATGAGGGGATGTACACCCGGCTCAAACGTTTCTGATGCATAAAAAACGTGGCTTGAGGAGAAGGCTTCCCCTACTCAGCATGCTCTTCAGTCCTAAGTTATTCTAAGCTGATTCTACGCGCATCTACGACGCGCAGTATATGTATAAAGTAGGACTGAAGAGCATGCTGAGTAGGGGAAGCCTTCTCCTCAAGCCATGTTTTTTATGCATCAAAATCGTTTGAGCCGGGTGTACCAGTAACCATCGACATATTAGAGTCCCTCTAGCACGGTCTTACATACAGGTCTTGAAACTTCCTCGAATTTCAGTGGTAGGGGTATGGTCGCTTACTGAGGTTGAATTTAGTTACAAACAGCGTCGCTGTTATCGGGTACCGCAGATAAACATAACCTGCAATCGTGCAGACAGTTAACAAAAGCTCGTGATATTCATGTCGCGATTTGTTCATTATTTGGGTTACCTGCATCAAAAACTGGAAACCTGTCAAAAGATATAATAAGAATTTGGAAAATTTGAAACGGAGAAAATAAAAGTTTCAAAATCATTCATGTTTTTCGGATTTATTTGGATTTAGAATAATTAAGATTTTATTGGGATTATAGGTATATGTATTTCATCACATCGAGTCAGTCTATAGGCATTTACGCTTTTTGCTAGACATTATAAACTGTTTCGCGTAGCTACTTATAGTCAACACTCAAGCGATGCCACCGTGGAAACCACGAATAGGACAGAGATGAAGTGATCCTCCCGGCCCCCCGCGTCCCTCCACCATACGATTACCATAGATGTAGAAAAGACATAGATGTAGCATAACCCTGCGGGGGGGAAGCCGTCCAGGGAGGGGTGCCGAGGTACACTGAGTCTACTTGTGATTGGTTACTATTGGAAGCAAGCGCAGTGATGTAAAAGTGCTACGTAAGCTTCGTCGCGGGTCTATGGTTCCAAGAGAACCAATTATGTTAAGGCATGGTAAGGGAGGGGTCAGCTTGAATTTGATTGGTTATGCAGCGAACTCCCCCCTCCCTCATTTTGCCGCACGCCTCTTGCCTAAAATATCAGTTTATGCTACATCTATGTCTTTTCTATATCTATGACGATTACCCGATCACAACGACTCTATGCAGCTATTCGGAATGGCTTCGCTAAGCGACCCACCCCCACCACCAGAGTTTCAAGATCTGTATGTACGACCGTGCCTTCTAGTCAGAGTCCGGCTAACACCCGGAAGGAACGCCATGTTGAGGGCTCGTTTGGCGCCGCCATGACATTGCGCGAGACTCGGTCGAGTCTCGCGCCAAGTACAGGCAACCCGCCGTACAGGGCTTAATACTATCCACACTACACAATGCGAATCTCTCTCATATCTGACTCTGACTAGAAGGACTCTACGACATATAGCAGAGATGAGTAGGGAGATTGCCAATGAGCCTGTTTTTGGTGATCTCAATTTTTCGTGTCGTGTCGTGTATATATAGTAATACTACGCGTGATAATCTGGAACCAGAGATGAGTAGGGAGATTGCCAATGAGCCTGTTTTTGGTGATCTCAATTTTTCGTGTCGTGTCGTGTATATATAGTAATACTACGCGTGATAATCTGGAACCAGAGATGAGTAGGGAGATTGCCAATGAGCCTGTTTTTGGTGATCTCAATTTTTCGTGTCGTGTCGTGTATATATAGTAATACTACGCGTGATAATCTGGAACCAGAGATGAGTAGGGAGATTGCCAATGAGCCTGTTTTTGGTGATCTCAATTTTTCGTGTCGTGTCGTGTATATATAGTAATACTACGCGTGATAATCTGGAACCAGAGATGAGTAGGGAGATTGCCAATGAGCCTGTTTTTGGTGAAGGATCGAGTTCGAAACTCACGTCTCTGCCCTTTTATTTTTTTTCTTAATTATCAACTATGCTTATTGGTTCACCTAGTTAACTTAACATTCATTAAATATATGATTATATTAGTCTACAAATATTGTATTATATTACATCGTATACATACAATAAATTGATTCATGAATCAGCGAACGTTTCTTCTTCCCGAGAGCCTACATGTGACAAACACTTATGGTACGCTGTTTCCTTTTTTAATAGCATAAATAATATTCAGACGGATAAAGAAGGCATTACGAAAAAATAC